GGCCATCGAGACCCTGAGGGCTCGAGATAAACTTCTGCCCACTTTAGCTACCTAGAAGAATTTAAATTAGGGGCCTTGCTCATGCTGTCAGTCCCAGAGATAACTTTTTATGGCAGAGCAAACATCTAATTACTGAACATCTGCTGTATGGTCCTGTGAATGGCCCTCCCCCCCTGAAGCCCCCAGGCACCTTCCCTCATCCCCAGCTCAGAAGGTCACGGGTGCCTCCTCATAACTTCCTGTCTCTGACTCTCATGTATGTGAGGTTCCCACATACACATCTGTAATTTAATTTGGTCATTTTCTCTTACTAATCTCTCTCGGGCAAATTAATTATTGGATCAGCCAGCAGAAACCAGAGGGGAGAAGACAGTTTCTTCCTCCCCCACAGCCAACTGTTCATACCTTTTCCTCCCAACAAAACACACTTCTGACTTGGCCCTAAGAGTACCCGTCAAACTCAGCTAGGATACCTCTGTCTCCAGGCTTCTCCAAATGATGTTAATGTGGGGGAAGAGGGGAGAGAAAATAAAGCACAACCAGCTAATAGGCAAAACAGAAGCAAATAGCAAAGTCAGAGAGAACACAAGAACCAGGCAAGCAGATCCCGGTGCAAGAGGGCAGGGAAGAGAGGAGGAAGGAAAACGCAAGAACCTGTGAGTTGGAGAGAAGAAAGGGTGCTGAGAGGACTAGAAATCAGATCCCTCCTGTCGTACGTGCTTAAAGCACCTTTCACCCGTGGCCGGGATTGTCTTCTTTAAGCATTTAGCAGAAAGAGTTTCACTGGGGAGAAATAACGCGAGAGGTGAGGGAAGCAGACTGAAGGGGGAGATGGAGAGGAGGAGGGGAGGCGGAGAAGCAGCAGGACCATCAGCAAGTCGGCCCCCAGCTCCAGGGCGCTGGTAACGGTCAAGGCCCTCGTCCCATCTACTTAATGTGGATGGCAAGTTCCTCGAAACACAGTTCTTGCAGCTCTGGGCATCCACCCTCCTCAAAAAGCTACTTTTCTTTTTGGTTGCGGATCTGTGTAATCTCCAATATGACGCCACGAAGCCTCAATAATCACTTCCAGTCTCTCTTGCTGAGCCGGGATTTACCCTTAACAGGACAGATACACTTCTCACTGCTTTGTTTTTCACTCTCTCTCCTAGAACCAGAGTCCACTGCTACTCAGGGACAGTATCACTGACCAATGAACATGAGAAAGGCCATTGTCCAGGTGCACCAGCTAGAGGCCGTTCCAGGGGTCAGAGGGTGCGTAGCGTGTTTGAAGGGCACCAGGAATGCGGCCTGTTTTAAATATCTACCTCACCCCACTGGCTCACCAGAGCACTTAAAACGTTATCATTAGAAAAATCTAACTTGGTTAGACGTTTCTATTCTAGGAGTCTCCACATTAAAATGCAAACAGCCATGGAAAGTAATAGATTATCTGCCATCATAACACTAAAGAGACAACAAGGCCCTGCAAGAACAGGACAGAGGCATACTGGTGACTGAGGGGCAGAAGAAAGGGCGGTTTACAAGGCATCGCAGGAGGAAGGATTCCCGAGGAATTCTGTCCCTGGGGAAACGGAAGCCGAGGCTCCGGGAGCATGGAAGGAGTTAGAGAAACTGAAGGCGCTGGCAAACCACCCAGCCAACAGCTTCAGTCTGGGTGCAGCTGGCTGCACGGATACCCCAGGCCTCAGCAGAGGTGAGGCAGTCCTGAGCACCAGCTCTAGCTGCGGCCCCCAGAAAGCCTGAAAAAGCAGGAAAGCACCTCCAAGACCACCAACTCCAACGCAGCATCAAGCACAGCAGATGCCTAACCCTTGTCCTGCTCCCACATTCCTCACTCCACCCAAACCCGGGAAAACTGGTGGGGGATTGGAGGAAAGCCATGCTCAGGGAGCGGGACTTGTGTAGTTTGCAAAGTTCCCCAATGATCCAAATGATCAGCTCCTTCCTCCACAGTGACAGTGTGACTGGAACCCAGTTCCACCAAAAAAATCAGACCCAGCACCTCTTTCCCTCCATTTGAATTGACACATGGTTTTCACGCCCCCTTGTGGGAGAGAAAGAATTAACCACAAGCTATACTGAAGGTAAATATCAGATGCTGTTTTCTATACTGTTAAAAAGCAACAAATAGGCCCCAAATGATGTCACTGCTGCTAAGTCCCACTCAGCAAACCAACTTAATACCTATCACTGCATCTCAGCCTGTCCCACGGAGGAACCTTTAACCAGTCAGTCAGGAATCACCTGGTCAACACCAGGGAGGTCATCACCGGACAGACCCCCGCTTTCCTGAAAGGAAGGTTACTTTCTTGCCTGAAATAACTTACTCTCTGAGAATGACTCCCTCGTCTTGTGCCCTTTCGGGCTATAAAAGCCTTCCACTCACACAGCTCCTCAGAGTTCCTTCTATGAGCCAGACGGGATGCTGCCCGGTTCACGAATCATTGATAAAGCCAGTTAGATCTTCACGTTACTCAGTGCAGTTCTGTTGTTTAACAACTCTGACAGCTGAAGACAGTTTTCCAAAGTGTGGTTCTATGTAAGATGATTTCAGGTAGCACAGGACAGATGCTATTTTAACGATCTGGTGTTTATCACAATGCTCATTAGAAAAAATTATAGGCAGTACTTCAAATTCACCATTTCACAAATATGTGAAGATGAGGCTAAATTAACCCTAATTTTTAAAAGTTAATTCTTAAATAATACACTGAATTATAATATTATACAGGTGGTCATGGGATATCACCCTAAAATGACTCCAGTTTGCCCTGGCCGGTGTGGCTCAGTGGTTAGAGAGTTGGCCTGGGGATTGAGGGTCCTGGGTTTGATTCTGGCCAAGGGCACGCACCTCGGCTGCAGGCTCGATCCCCGGCCTGGTCGGGGGGCACGTGGAGTCAGCCAGTCGATGTGTCTCTCTCACATCCATGTCTCTCTCTCTGTCTCCCCTCCACTCCCTCTGAAAGGCAATGGAAGAAGTATCCTTGGGTGAGGATTCAAAATAATAATAATAAAAAAATAAAATGACTCAAGTGTCCGAAAGAGTTGTCTAAGCCGGGTCTTCCGATGGAAGATAAATTCCTCTCAGGGTGTTTGGGTTCTATTTATGTATATAAAGTGGAGTGATTCACATTTTAATAGAAATAACAATGTTTTAAGGTACTCCTAACTCTTTTCTTCATCAAATAATAGTTTGTTTTCAACATCAATTATTTCATAGGCAAATTAACATTCAATACTGCTCAGTCTGTCCAAATATCCGCCTTCCTTAACACATGCTCACCTGGGTGGTTACCCCATGATTGTAAATAGTGGATGCCCTCTCATTTTGACAAGTTTCATTACAGAAAATATATTTCCATTTAATCTCCACGGTTGAAGGAATTCTCCGAGAACCATTTGAACTCCTGTCAACATATTGCCATGGAATGTGCAGTAATGACCTGTATTCTATTGTCACAGTGGTCAATTATTTATCATAGAACTTAGAGGTTTCAAAGAATCCTGAGCATTTAACCCACATTCATTGGTTCTTGCAGTCCCTAATGTTGGCAGGTACAATCCAGGACATCTTTCAGTCACTGAGCGCCAGTAATTAGCATGACAGATAAATGCCATCCCTGGTCACCCCAGTCACCAAAACACTTCAGAACATTTGTGAAGAAATATGAGCCATGGTGTTGTTAGAAAACCTTCGGTGACACCTCCTGGTAAGATCAGGAAAGTGCAAGCATGAAAACTAAGTGTCAGCGATTTGGAAGAAAATTCTTTCAAGAAATGCTACATTATCAGTGCTCTTAATGGTCCAAAGGAAAATTTTGTATGGAGGGGAAAAACACTGATTTTGATGACTCCAAAAAGTGATTTCTGAAGAATCATTCTAAATGCAAAGAATCGGAGTAGTGCCCAGCCAGGCATGGCTCAGCGGTTGAGCGTCAACCTAGGATCTAGGCGATCGGGGTTCGATTCCCGGTCAGGGCACATGCCCGGGTTGCGGGCTTGATCCCCAGTCGGGTGCGTGCAGGAGGCAACCGATCAATGACTCCCTCATCATTGATGTTTCTCTCTCCCTCTCCCTCTCCTTTCCTCTCTCTGATGTCAATAAAGATATATTTAAAAAAAAAAAAAAAAAAGAATCAGAGTAGTAATATCTTAACTGACATACCGTTTCAATTTTCATTTTTATAGTTGCACAAAAGACATATGACACAGGACAAAATATCAAATAAGTCCAAGAGTTCCTTCAGTAAATAAAAAATAAAACAACAAAAAATTAAGCCCTAAAAGAATACTGCATCAGAGGTATTGGCAGAAGTTTATCTTAGTGTGACAGATATAAAAACAGTGCAACTTAAACTCAGCACCTCAGATTTGAAGAAATACTCTAAATCTTACTTTAGGTCCCTCAGTAGTATTTCAAAGTTTCCCTCATGTCAATTTTGCATGTTCTTAAGGCTATTTCTATGTATTTTATCTTTTCTTCCATTACATTTTCTCATCAGAATGCTATTTATTTTTGCCTACTTTATAAACAGCCACCTTACTGGATTCTCTTACTATTTATAACAATTTTTTAGCATATTCTTTTGGGTTTTTCAAGTATGCAATGAAATAACTTTTAAACTCAAACCTTAAACTAAGCTGGAATTCAAGCCCAGTGAAGGTCAGGATGGTGTATTGCTTTCACTGTTCCATCCTTAGCACCTAGCATATTACCTTGCATGGAGCAGGTGATCAGTATATATTTGTTAAATAAATTATATCAATGCATCTTCATAAAACTAACCACTTCCCAAAAGAGATGTTGAGTTTAGTTGAAAAGTCAAATATAAATGATGAAATAGTATTCATATTTATTCCCTCCACTACAAACATACAGATCCTGTAAGAAACTGGGTACTTTATAATTAAAGCAACATATGTTTGATTATAATTAGTTCTATTTTAATAATTAAAAACCCTAATTATGAAATAAGTGTTTTATTTTAAACACATACCTTTTGGATCTTAGATCTGATGAATCAAACTGGATATTCATGGGTCCAGGTTGTACTTCATCATCTACTTCAGGGATGAGAAGCTGCCTAGAGTCGCTGTCCATATTTGCCATTTTTCTTGGACTTTAAACACTGAAGAAGTCAGTCCTAGGTAAATCAGAAAAGATAGGTAATTTAAAGTTTAATTAAAAATTATTTCACTATTAATAAATAATGCATTTGCATGCACAAGAAACTGGAAAAAAACAGGAATTTGCTGAAGATATCTTAATGCAGCATATGCCTAAAACATTTATTTTATCAGAAACTTGCTAAGTTGAGATGAAGTTACTGCTTATTTTTCAGCTTAATTAAAAAAAAAAGACCAATCCATTTCCAGTAATAAAACAGAGTAGGCTATTTGGATTCATTTTTTTCTGCAGAAAAACTAAAAATACTGGGTAAAATATTAAAAACATTTTTGGGAAATTTCCAAAAACAGTGAGAAAAATCAGGCCATCTGTAGGTAAAGTTAAGGAACCTAGAGAGGCAAATAGCTTAAGGAGGTTGCTTCTGCTCTGAGGGTGTTTGCTCTACCAGGGAAACTTGGGCTGAAGTTTTCAAGGCCTTGTGAAGTATCAGGGAAATAGAAGACAAAACCCAGATTCGCTCAAAGTGAGGAATGACTGTCCTAAGAAGTCACCCCCTTTCCCTACCTACCAAAATACGGCTGGGCTTGCATACAGCTTTCCCATCAGATTAGGGGTTAACAGGAAGTAAAACTGCTTCACTGCCTCATAAGGGAACTACACACACATTTTCTTGACACTGAGCAGTGTGTGTGTGTGTGCATGTGCACCTGGGCACACCCGTGGTGGGGAAATGGTATTCACCACCAACCACACCTCATGTGGATTTGCAAAGAGGCCAAAGAGCATTCAAAAGACTTCTAGGTAACTGGCAGAATGTCAGTCTTTTCTGTGAGGACACACCTCAGCCTAGGCCCCAAAGACTTGCTGACGATCTTTCAAGGACAATGAATCGCACACAGTCGAAAATACACTAAGGAAATAAGGCACTATTAGTAAGAACCAGCAGAAACAACAGCAGAAATTCATCCACAAAAACTTCAACTACAGGGATTATCAGAATAAAATTATAAAGCAGTATGTTTCCTATGTTAAACACAGAAAGGAAAAAGGGCCCATTTTCAAAAAGTAACTTAGCATGTTTGAAAGGACCAGAGTGGCCCTGGCTGGGTGGCTCAGTTGGAGCATGTCCTGTGCACCAAAAGGTTGTGGGTTTGATTCCGGGTCAGGGCACACACCTTGGCTGTGGGTTTGATCCCCTGTTGGAGTGCCTACGGGAGGCAACTGATCAGTGTTCCTCTCTCTCTCTCTCTCAGTGTTTCTTTGTCAGTGTTTCTCTCTCTCAATGTTTCTCTCTCTGTCAAATCAATAAGCATATCTTTGGTGAAGATTTAAAAGAAAAAGAGAAGGACCTACCCAAGAGCTGAAATTGAGAACTCAATGAATGGGTATAAAAGCTGATGAGAAAATGAATGAAGTAGAAGATTAAATCAGAAGAAACTATCCAGAAGTGGCAGAGAGGGAAGACAGAAAATGTGTAAGAGGTTGAGAAACAAGGAGACAGAGTGAGAAGGTCTAACATGCATGTAACTGGAGAACCAGAGAGGAGACAGCAGAGGCAATATCGGAGGAGATAATGGCTGAGAAATTTCTAGAATTCATAAAAGATAACAATCTGCAGACTCAAGAAGTTTAATGAATCCAAGCAGAATTAATAAACAATATAGTATAGGTTTGGGGGAAAAAAAGAATTAAAATTCCAGACCAAAAAGAAAAAAGTCAAGTGAAGGTCTTGGAATTAAGGTGTTCAAAGTCCTTATGTTGTCCAGATCAACATTACACTCTGATGTGATGTATGTTATAATTTTAAGGGTAACTACTAACATAATAGAAAACAGTGTATAACTTAAAATCCAGTAAGGTAGGAAGGAGAATGATAAAAATTAATTGACCTAAAAAAGGGCAAGAAAAGAAAACATAAAAGAGGTAGGACATAAAATATATAAGATTCTCCCATTCTTTCTAAGTCATGCTAATCAGGCTGCTTCATCACTACACAAAAGCTGCTCTTGTTAGATCACCAATGACCCCCAGATGGATGACCCCCAGGGTCACTTCTCAAGCTTTCACTTACTTCCCCTATCAGAAATATTTGCCACTGGGCATCACGCTCCTCCTAATAAACTAGACTCACTAGGGCTCCAGGTTTCCTCTATACCTCTCTGGTCCCTCCTCCTTCTCTGTCTCGTTTACTGTCTGCTCCTTGCCTCCCAGACTTCCTAAAATCGCAGAGTCCCAAGGTTCAGTCTTCGTCATCTTCTCTACGTACCATATTTGCTGATATGGAGGAAGTTTTAGTGGTCTGCATAGAAGACCACAACATTCCCTTAAGCCAAAGCCTAATCCAGGGCAAGGCCCCAACTCTCTTCAATTCTACAAAGGCTGAGAGAGGTGAGGAAGCTGCAGAAGGAAAGTCTGAAGCTAGAAGAGGTTGGTTCATAAGGTTTAAGAAAAGACTCTGTTGCCCAGCCAGGCGTGGCTCAGCAGTTGAGCATCGACCTAGGATCCAGGCGATCAGGGTTTGATTCCTGGTCAGGGCACATGCCCTGGGTTGCCGGCTTGATCCCCAGTCGGGGACGAGCAGGAAGCAGCTGATCAATGACTCTCTCATCATTGATGTTTCTATCTCTCTCCCTCTCCTTTCCTCTCTCTAAAATCAATAAAGACATATTAAAAAACAAACAAAAAAACCTTAAAAAAATTTTAAAAAAGACTCTGTCTCCATAACATAAAAGTGCCAGGTGCAGCAATGATGTAGAAGTTGCAGCAAGTCATCCAGATCAGCTAAGACAAGTTGCAGCAAGTCATCCAGATCAGCTAAGACAAGTAATGAAAGTGGGTAAACAATAGATTTTCTATGTAGATGAAACAGCTTTATATTGGAAGAAGATGCCATCTAGGGCTTTACTAGCCAGAGAGGAGAAGACAATGTCTGGCTTCAAAGCACAGGTTGGCTCTCTTGTTAGGGGCTAATGCAGCTGGTGACTTTAAGTTGAAGCCAGTGCTCATTTACCAACCAAAAATCCTAGGGCCCTTAAGAATATGCTCAGTCTACTCTGCCTGTGTTCTACACATGGATCAACAAAGCCCAGATGACAGCACATCTTCTTAGAACACGGTTAACTGAGTATGTTAAGCCCACTGTTGAGACCTACTGCTCAGAAAAAAAAGGTTCCTTTCAAAATATTACTGCTTGTTGACAATGCACCTGGCCACCCCTGAGCTCTGATGGGGACGTACAATGAGACTGGTGCTGTTCTCATGCTAGCACGTCATCCATTCCGCAGCCCACGGGTCAAGGATTATTTCAACTGTCAAGTCTCATTATTTAAACTATATTTCCTAAGGTCACAGCTGCCACAGACAGTGACCCCTCTGATGGATCCAGACAAAGCAAATTGTAAACCTTCTGGGAAGGATTCGCCATTCTAGATGCCACTGAGAACACCCATGAGAAGAGGTCAACACGTCAACACCGGCGGGAGTTTGGAAGAAGCTGATTCCAGGAGTCACGGTGGACTTTGGGGGGAGGAAGTGACCACAGAGGCGGTGGGAACAGCAGAAGGACCAGCATCGGGGCCTGGAGGCGGGGCTGGCTGCTGCCATCCCTGATAAAGCCTGAACGGACGGCGAGCTGCTTCTAGGGGAGAGCGAGGACAGGGCTCCTCCGGGCGGAGCCCCTCCCGTGAAGATGCCGCGAGGACCTGAGGCGACGCCGGAGGATCCGCACGCGGCGTGAACTCGCTGATGGAGCAGGGGCGGGGCGCGAGGGCGACTGCAGTTCTCAGGGAAGCTCTCCCGTGGGCGACCGCGCTAAAA